TGAACATTTGGGTGGCATTATGCAAATATTTCCATATAGTGTGGTAGATATGTGGGGGCGTGTTAGAATGAGCCGTTTTAGGGGGGCGTGGCAGAGTCTTAACTTTGATAAAGAATATCTCTTTGGTTTTGAGACTTTAGTCTTTGCAACTTCAGGGATCTTATCTATGCACAATCAGCTTGTAACACTCCAAAGAGAAAGGAAAACTTGAAATCGCATCATATGACCCCTTTAAGAAGCAACATGTTTGAGCTCATTAATGGCCGCAGGTGTTTCGGTTACCGGTCCGAGACCTTAAAAACTCTCCGTTTGTGACTGAAAGACAAATGTATGTGTGTGAGTGATGGGAGGAAATGTGTGATTATTGAGCGAGCGTGAGAGAATGTGTGTAAAAGGAGGCAATACAACAACAACAACAACAACAACAACAACAAAAAGTGGGTGAAATGCAGCGGAGTCTGATACCCCAAAATATCTGACTTCTACTTCATTTATCTGTGCAAAGCCACGAGGGAAAATATTGACTGAAAGAGTGTGTCTGGAGAACCTGAGGGAGGGAATCTCTCTGATGGGAAGCACAATCTCAATTCCACCCTGATTTCATTAAATGATTAGAGTTGATGGAGAAGATGAAATCCCAGCATGCAGCGCAGTGTCTGTCGGGAATCCAGAGACATCTCGAGCTGAACCTGAGTGCAGACTTCAGCATCAAATCAAGCGACTAAACTCCACTGAAAACACGCATTGAGCCACAAAATCAAGTGCATGAGGAAAACAACACATTTCATAATTTTGCATTGAATTACATTATTTTCTTCAGTGAAAACAAGCACATTCACGCTAAATGTGACGTTTTTAACACGCAGTCCTGTGTGCAATCAGATTTTGGCGTCGTGTGTGTTTGATTAAAAGCTGAACAGGGGTTTCTACAGTGTAAATTAATTGTGACGGACAAATCCGAGGCAGAAATGTCAGAAGTGTTTGCTGAAGTGAAGCGATAATATTATGATTTCAATTCCGATTTTATTTCCGGACTGGTTTTTGTGTTCGTGACTATCATTGATGCGTTTAATCACGTCGCGTTGTTCCAAAACACTCTTAAATGTCAAGCAGCTTTATTATAGTATCATGATGAGCGTGTGGGTGAAGATGATAGTCCTCACACACACACACACACATCTGCATGTCATGAATGACTAACTCACGCTGTCTGTCTTCATTAACGTTAATGTTTAAACCTCCAAAGCATCAAAATATGA